CTCAACAAGTGCATGCATTACGATCCATAATCTTTCTGTCGATGCCGCATTTGTGCATCACTAGGCCGGACGTGGAGATAAAAAGCAATTTTTTCCAGCTGTGTAATCGCAAATGACGTGAAAGTTAATATTTTATAAGTGAGGGTTAGGGTTTGGCTGTTTCGAATCTGATGTTCTATTGAATTTCAAGGCCTGTGCAGCAGAAACTGGAATTTGTTACGGTCTGAAAATTGTAGTTTTAGAATCTACGGTTTTCCAACTGTGTAATCGAAAAAGACGTGAAAGTTAATATTATGTAAGTGAGGGTTAGGGTTTGGCTGTTTCGAATCTGATGTTCTATTGAATTTCAAGGTCGTTGTAGCGGAAACGTGAATTTTCGCCGGTCTGAAAATTGTATTTGTAGAATCTACTGTGCATAGGCGTTCTGTCGATGCCTTACTCGTGCATCAAAAGACAGTCCATGGAGATACAAAGCAGGTTATTCCAGGTGCATAATCGAAAAAGACGTGAAAGTTAATATTATGCGGTTTCGAACCTGATGTTCTATCGAATTTCAAGGCCCTTGTAGCAGAGACTTGAATTTGGGCCAGCCTGAAAATTATATTTCTGGAATGTACGATCCATAAGCTTTCTGGCGATGCCTATTTGTGCATCACTAGGCCGGACGTGGAGATAAAAAGCAGTTTTTTCCAGCTGTGTAATCGCAAATGACGTGAAAGTTAATATTTTATAAGTGAGGGTTAGGGTTTGGCTGTTTCGAATCTGGTGTTCTATTGAATTTCAAGGTCGTTGTAGCGGAAACGTGAATTTACGCCGGTCTGAAAATTGTATTTTTAGAATCTACGGTCCATAAGCATTCTGTCGATGCCTTACTCGTGCATCAAAAGTCAGTCCATGAAGATACAAAGCAGGTTATTCCAGGTGCATAATCGAAAAAGACGTGAAAGTTAATATTATGCGGTTTCGAACCTGATATTCTATCGAATTTCAAGGCCCTTGTAGCAGAGACTCGAATTTGGGCTAGCCCGAGAATTGTATTTTTGGAATCTACGATCCATTAGCTTTCTGTCGATACCTCATTTGTGCATCACTAGGCCGGACGTGGAGATAAAAAGCAGTTTTTTCCAGCTGTGTAATCGCAAATGACGTGAAAGTTAATATTTTATAAGTGTGGGTTAGGGTTTGGTTGTTTCGAATCTGATGTTCTATTGAATTTCAAGGCCTGTGCAGCAGAAACTGGAATTTGGCACGGTCTGAAAATTGTAGTTTTAGAATCTACGGTCCATAGGCTTTCTGTCGATGCCTTACTCGTTCATCAAAAGTCAGTCCATGAAGATACAAAGCAGGTTATTCTAGGTGCATAATCGAAAAAGACGTGAAAATTAATATTATGCGGTTTCGAACCTGATGTTCTATCGACTTTCAAGGCCCTTGTAGCAGAGACTCGAATTTGGGCTAGCCTGAGAATTGTATTTTTGGAATCTACGATCCATTAGCATTCTGTCCATACCTCATTTGTGCATCACTAAGCCGGACGTGGAGATAAAAAGCAGTTTTTTTCCAGCTGTGTAATCGCAAATGACGTGAAAGTTAATATTTTATAAGTGAGGGTTAGGGTTTGGCTGTTTCGAATCTGATGTTCTACTGAATTTCAAGGCCTGTGCAGCAGAAACTGGAATTTGGCACGGTCTGAAAATTGTAGTTTTAGAATCTACGGTCCATAGGCTTTCTGTCGATGCCTTACTCGTTCATCAAAAGTCAGTCCATGAAGATACAAAGCAGGTTATTCCAGGTGCATAATCGAAAAAGACGTGAAAATTAATATTATGCGGTTTCGAACCTGATGTTCTATCGACTTTCAAGGCCCTTGTAGCAGAGACTCGAATTTGGGCTAGCCCGAGAATTGTATTTTTGGAATCTACGATCCATTAGCTTTCTGTCCATACCTCATTTGTGCATCACTAGGCCGGACGTGGAAATAAAAAGCAGTGTTTTTCCAGCTGTGTAATCGCAAATGACGTGAAAATTAATATTTTATAAGTGAGGGTTAGGGTTTGGCTGTTTCGAATCTGATGTTCTATTGAATTTCAAGGCCTGTGCAGCAGAAACTGGAATTTGGCACGGTCTGAAAATTGTAGTTTTAGAATCTACGGTCCATAGGCTTTCTGTCGATGCCTTACTCGTGCATCAAAAGTCAGTCCATGAAGATACAAAGCAGGTTATTCCAGGTGCATAATCGAGAAAGACGTGAAAGTTAATATTATGGGGTTTCGAACCTGATGTTCTATCGACTTTCAAGGCCCTTGTAGCAGAGACTCGAATTTGGGCTAGCCCGAGAATTGTATTTTTGGAATCTACGATCTATTAGCTTTCTGTCGATACCTCATTTGTGCATCACTAGGCCGGACGTGGAGATAAAAAGCAGTTTTTTCCAACTGTGTAATCGCAAATGACGTGAAAGTTAATATTTTATAAGTGTGGGTTAGGGTTTGGTTGTTTCGAATCTGATGTTCTATTGAATTTCAAGGCCTGTGCAGCAGAAACTGGAATTTGGCACGGTCTGAAAATTGTAGTTTTAGAATCTACGGTCCATAGGCTTTCTGTCGATGCCTTACTCGTTCATCAAAAGTCAGTCCATGAAGATACAAAGCAGGTTATTCCAGGTACATAATCGAAAAAGACGTGAAAATTAATATTATGCGGTTTCGAACCTGATGTTCTATCGACTTTCAAGGCCCTTGTAGCAGAGACTCGAATTTGGGCTAGCCCAAGAATTGTATTTTTGGAATCTACGATCCATTAGCTTTCTGTCGATACCTCATTTGTGCATCACTAGGCCGGAGGTGGAGATAAAAAGCAGTTTTTTTCCAGCTGTGTAATCGCAAATGACATGAAAGTTAATTATATTTGAACCTTTCTCAGCCCAAAATAACTCCGACACAACCAGGAATCGAACCTAGCTTCTCACACGTGTAACACTTCTTCCTTACCGTTAGACCACCTCTCCTTCACTTGCTGGCACTACCTTTTTTATTCTACTTAGCTCTTTCTCGTCTCGGGTGGAATTAATTAACAACGATGCCTGATATTAAAATGTTTTCGACAGAAGCGGGAATCGATCCTGGCTTCACGCACTTGCACAATTCGTCCTTACCACTAGACCATCTCGCCTACACATGCTTTAACGCCTTTTTTATTCTACTTAACTCTTTCTCGTCTGGGGTGGAATTAATTAACAACGATATCTGACATTAAAAGGCTTTTTGACTACAGCAGGAATCGATCCTGGCTTCACACACTTCCAACACTTTGTCTTCACCACTAGACCAACTCGCCTACACTTGCTTTAACTCCTTTTTTATTCTACTTCACTCTTTCTCGTCTCGGGTGGAATTAATTAACAAGGATGCCTGACATTAAAATGCTTACGGCACAACCAGGACTCGTTCCTGGCTTTACGCCCTTGCAACACTTCGTCCTTACCACTGGACCATCTCGGCTACACACGCTTTAACTGTTTTTTTATTCTACTTTGCTCTTTCTCGTCTCGGGTGGAATTAATTAACAACGATGCCTGATATTAAAATGTTTTGGACAGAAGCGGGAATCGATCCTGGCTTCACGCACTTGCACAATTCGTCCTTACCACTAGACCATCTCGTCCACACCGTCTTTAACTCCTTTTCTATTCTACTTCACTCTTTCTCGTCTTGGGTGGAATTAATTAACAAGGATGCCTGACATTAAAATGCTTATGGCACAACCAGGACTCGATCCTGGCTTTACGCACTTGCAACACTTCGTCCTTACCACTAGACCATCTCGCCTACACACGCTTTAACTGTTTTTTTTATTCTACTTTGCTCTTTCTCGTCTCGGGTGGAATTAATTAACAACGATGCCTGACATTACTGAAAATGCTTTCGGCACTACCAGGAATCGATCCTGGCTTTACGCACTTGCAACACTTCGTCCTTACCTCTAGACCATCTCGCCTACACACGCTTTAACTCCTTTTTTATTCTACTTCGCTCTTTCTCGTCTCGGGTGGAATTAATGAACAACGATGCCTGACATTAAAATGCTTTCGGCACAACCAGGAATCGATCCTGGCTTTACGCAGTTGCAACACTTTGTCTTCACCACTAGACCAACTCGCCTACACTTGCTTTAACTCCTTTTTTATTCTACTTAAATCTTTCTCGTCTCGGTCTTTCTCGTCTAAAAAGGTTTCGACTACAGCAGTGAAGAATATCGAGAATTTTTAACTAGGAATCTCGGGATTTTTACAAAATTATAGTTGGCAACGCTGGCGCGATTAAAAACATTTTTAAGACGCGTATACCCTAGTCTACGGTGTAGACGCTCAGTGGGTCTACACCATAGAATGATAGAAATAATAGATATATTATTTCTATGGTCCACACCGTAGGTCTCTGACCGTAGGCTACGCATGCCCGTTCGCTGGTTGAAAATTTAAATTTTGAGATCAGCGGTAGTTCGTCATAATTTATGCGTGCGTGACGTCAACAACCGACGCTATTTTCGAAAATTTCAGCATTGTGAATTTTACAAACACAGCTGCCTCGATGGGAAAAATTGCATTATTTTCATAATCTTATGATCTCAGAGGCTTCCGCATCAAGTCACGACTATGGAGAATGACTTCGAAACGGTAATGAACGTGTAGATTAGTCCGTGTTTAGTTGAAAATGTTTCCTTGCAATTGTTGGGTAATGGTTTAATATAGTTTATAACTTTATAGTTTTAATATAAATATTAAATATATCGATATGATATTCAGCTTAGAAAGTCACGAAATGATTCTATCATTGCTATGTCACAAAGCTAGTTTTAGTTTGATATTCTCTTTTGTAACAGCTCTCATAACTACATAAAACAACGCAGTCTGTTGAACATTATTCCGTCTTTTGCGTCTAATCATGAACAACTGCAGTGTACTGAGTGTGTAGTCTCTTCAAACTTAGAGGATTTGAAAGGTTTTATTCTGAATAGTTAACCTGTTAAAAAAGCTTCAAATGCTTGTTACAAGTTGGAGTACTTCATTCTTACGCTACCATGGGTGTCACCAAATTGTGTGAACACATCAATAATTTGTATTGTGTTGACGCCCACAAACATTGACAACCACCTATTTTTGTGTGTTTATACATGCCAGTCTGGTTCTTAGTGACAATTACCCTATGATTCTAGTATTCTGAAAGGCTACCTCAGTCAGCTTCCATGAGGGCCAGCCTGAGATCGACGTCATCATTCCCAGGAATCAATGGTTCTTTTGGCTCGTACTATCGATATCCTGAGGACGAAGGAGGCAAGGAAGATCGGAAACATAAATCAGAAGTAAATACTTTTCCAGAAGATAATAACAGAGGTAGGAATCCTGATGATGTGCACAGAATGATGATATAATAACTTGAAAATATCAACATACTGACAATATAATTAGTCAACATATTTCTTGCAATCAATGCTGTTAATATAAAAATCTGCTATCCTGTAATGTTTAATGAAACTCAATACCAGCAATAGGGTGTACAGCACATTAGTTAAAAATCACCGCAACAACCCCCAAATAACTGTACTCTTTCTTGCATATGTTTTCTTGCATTTTTATGTACCCTATGTTTACCTATTTTTTCATTCAGCATCATCCAACTTGTTGGGATTACTGGTATTGGGCTGTCAATTTCCTGCGCGTAATGCAAAATGACTGAAAAACAGCAAACTTCGCAAGGCTATATTATCCGCATTTTACAACATTTCGCAACGAAACTTTGGAATATTACTAATTTTGTGATGCTCATTTTATATTCTCTCCAGCTGTTGTTACAGCACTGAAAAGCCTTCAGGAAAAGATACGTAAACTAGAATTGGACCGCAGTCATGCGAAGGCAAATCTTGAGCAGCTGTCATCTGAAGCAAAACAATACCAAGAAAAACTGGAGGAAGAAAGAAGACAAACAACACCTAGAAGTCAACCAACTTCACCTTCAGGTATCCACATTACTCTTCTCAAAAAATATTGAGTTAAATGTGTCTCAAGGAAGGTTGATCTTTTATTTGATAGTTGATTAAACCAAACCAAATGATCATTTTCTAATTTTTCACATATTTGAATAACATCACAGTGACATCATGGATCTATTCACCTCCTCAACTACGTTCTGATTTCTGCAATATGCAGTTGCTTGATCAGAATTTCACCTCAGTCACAGAGCTTTTGTTTAATTTCTTGCCAATATGGCAGGTTTCTGGGTAGATCAGATTCTTGCTGTAGCTATCAATAAGGTGTGACTCTCAATAAAGTATAGCCCTCAAGGTACAACACTGGATCAATAAGGTATGGCCCTTACTGGACCTCTTGGGAGAACAGTTTGGAAGTGATAGAGCTATTATAAATGAAAAAAGATGTTTAGGTACAGTACTTAGAAGCTTGGAAAGCACTATAAAATGTCAACAGGTGAAACAAGTACTTTGAAATAAACTGTTTTACTTCTAATACTGACAGTAATGCTTTTGATATCAAACTGCTGTAAATTTTATATGTATATACTCGATTAAAGGCACAGTTCAGCCTGTTGAACGATGGTTTTTAAGTCGCATTTCAGCCCTTTTAATTGAAAAAACTAACTAGGAAAATCAATTAAGCATAATTCAAAATCAGTAAACTCGACGTTTTTAACAATATAAATGTTTTAAAATGTTAAAAACATGAAGTTTGGTGATCTTGAATTATGCTTAATTGATTTTCCTAGTTAGTTTTTTCAATTAAAAGGGCTGAAATGCGACTTAAAAACCATCGTTCAACAGGCTGAACTGTGCCTTTAAGGCCCGTTTACACTTGCAATTTGTGCTGCGGTTTTAGGTGCGATTTTCGTCTTCTGATAGATGTGAACGAGTGGATAAGTTATGGTTATTCAGATGAGGATACATCAATGGGATACATGTACTCAGAACATTCATAACTCATCTACTCGTTCACATGCATCAGAAGACGAAAATCCTACTAGAAATGTCAGCAAAAATTGCAAGTGTAAATGGACCTTTATACTACTATGATTAGTTGAAGTGAATAATAACCTGGCCACAGCCGAAGCCAAGTGTAATTTGTTGGAAAGACAACTGGAATACATGCGCAAGATGTTACAGTCAGCCGAAGTCGATCGCAACGATGCAATTCAACGGTCAACAACGTTAGCACAACAAGCTGCGAAACAAGCATCACAGCATGTACAGAGCAAACTTGAGAAGATTTCTGGATTGGAGAGACAACACATTCAATTGAATGCAGCTCAGAATGTGGCCGAGGTAATGCAGTGTTTCACAGAAATGTTTGGTGGCGAATTCAGTCATTGAAAAGCATCACGCTTCATGTAGCCTGCGAACAGTCTACAACAGAAATTTCTGCTGTACGAGAAGGGAAATCTGTCTATCTCATTTATTCTGCAATTTTATTTGCTTCTTAGAGTAAAATTCGCGAACTTGAAGAAAAACTACAGGAAGAAAGACATAAACGAAAATTGATCGAAGATAAAACTGCCGAGGTACAATACACATATTCAACATATGTAAAAATGAGAATACCGTGATTATTATCGTTCATTTATAAATGCATTTTCCCAAACTTTTAGCTTGCTACCTCAGCGGAGACGAACAGAATTCTCATGGGAATGGCCACCGCTTCATCATCTGAACCTAAAAAAGTTAAAAAGAAGAAAAAAGTGAGACGATTTTCCTGTTCAATAAAATTCACCTGAGACTGAGATTAACCCTTTAAGTGGCAATGCGCCCAGATGCGCCCTACTTTATTATTTTACTTTGTCTAACGCCAGACGATTTTACTCGTCAGGGGGAGAGTGCTGCTACTCAGTGGGTTAACACTGTTGTAACTCGCCTCTGTGGTAACTTGAATGAAAAATTGGCATAATATTCCACGCGTTACCTTTCATATATAGATAAAACGAGCAGCAGCAACAACGACACACATTCAACCTCAAAGTCATTACAGAGTGAACATGGGTAGTATCCCGTTCATCGCAGGCACTGTAAGTATATATACCACTGAAAACATTAAGTAAACCTTACTGTATTTATATATACTGGATGGCTCCATCAGTCAATTTATACACGTCCAGTATTGTCCAATGTTACTACAGGAGAAAACTCGAGTATATCTGGAGAAGATCTGCGATGTTTGGTCGAGTCAACCTATTGATATTCCCATATATAATAGGGAGTTTAAGTTCGAATTTTGTTGGCAGAATTTTTGCTTAATTTCTTCGCTTCATCTTCTCGTTCTTATCTCAAAAGAATCATCATACATTAAGTTTTAAAATAGCAAGTTGATTCCCATTTATTACCTTGTAAAGCGAAAATTATTAACCCCCCCCCCCTGGCGTTTGGCGTTTGAACGCGAAGCTTAAACTCCTTACTGGGTGACAACGGCTGGGTGAAGTCACAGACTCTACTAACCATTGTGACCACTGTCACCAACAAGTATCGTTTTATATATAGTGTGTTCATCACTTTCAATTTTTTCTTTGTTTTGTAGTCTACATCAAAGTCGCACAATGTTGGTGCTAATATCCAAGGAGCTCTATCATTATTAAAGACTCACAATCCAGTGTTGTGTAATGCCGCGACGAAAACTCGTCGCAAGTATTGCCGTACCAGTTCCCTTCCCTCGGACTCGGACCACGCCGCTGACGTGACCGAAGTACTGCTTGGCTTACAAGATGAGTTTGGCAACATGGGATTGTAAGTACTACACATTTTATGTTGTTGTATTGTATACTAATGCGCCGAATGACGAAAGTTCTTGTTCCAGATTTTTAGACCTCGCTGGTTGTATCGAACCTCTGGGAAGAACAGTTTAGTTCGATGTCAGGTCGGTTCGGTCTAGCAAGTGATCTAAAAAAATTATTTTCCTTTCTTAGCGAACATAAAGAACTGCTAAAACAAATCCAGGATACAGAGGACGAGCGATTACGTGGGGACCTGGAACGAGAGCTCGATCAACTTGTCGCACGAATGGAAACGAAAGGCGAACAAATCGCGACGTTGAAACAACATCAAGCACGCTTAACACGCTCCGGAAAACGAAAAAAGAAACGGCCCACGTCCGCAAACGGCGTACGCGAAACGAAATCTCTGTCCGTGAGAGGTGGAGAGGTCGAAGTCGTCACAACGGTGAAGGCGAAAAGTTTACCGCGAAATCTTGAGCGCGCAAAATCCTCGAATCCTGCAAGACAGAATTTAGACGTTTTACAAAGTATGCGAAAGCTTCAGACGTCTCTAAGAAAGGACGATCTGAGTTGGGATTAACTTTAGGGGAATGTGAACTAATATATATATATAACACAAAAACATTATAAATTATAATAACATACAAAGATGTAAATATAAATTATTGAAAAGACATTCGTACGCTGAAAAGAACGTGTAAAAACCTGGGGAGGGTTTATTTTGGGTAATATCTATATGTAAATTATGACATATTAATAAAATGATGAAATAGGAGGGTGAGTATGCCTTTCATTGATGGTACAGTGGTATGTATACAGACATTTTACCTCTCTGACCCTCTGCTGCTTCATTCCTGTAATATTCATTTATCAGCTTTATTGGACACAATATAGTAGAAATATTTACAAGTTTTTACAACGGGACAACGAGACCCATGCTAGGCGCAACTCCTAAACTAATATTAAACTAGGTCAAACTAGTACTAGTAAAAAATTAGTTATAAATTGGACCAAAAATTAAAATTTCGGAATGTTAGGAATGCAACTAACGGTCCGTAGAGAATAAATTGCTCCAAAGAATGCAGTCACGTGATGAATGCGATGACGTTGAATCATCACGAATGCGATGACGTTGAATCATCACAAATGCAACATTTAATAATCCAAGATGTCTGTCGCTGTGTCTATGTTCCGTTGGATAGATTTACTTGAAAAAGAGTTTGACAAGGCTTTTGTTGATTTAGACTTGCTGCTAGGGGAAATAGACCCCGACCAGAGTGAAATAACGTACGATGGACGGCAAAAAATGACCTCTTTGTCGTCGGTTTTCGCTCAAATGGTTCACAAAGCACAAGCAATATTTCAAGCCAACGCGAAATTGGAGGTGGGAATATAGATTAACATGTCAAGAATTTGTTTTGAAGATAGGCTAATGGGTTAAATAAGAGTCTTTGTTAAGTTTGGAGTGGCTTTTAGGTATTTAAGTACAGTTCAATCTAGGTTAACCGCTCGAAAGTTGATAGCGTATAAAAGTAAAAATATAGCTCAAATATTGTGTATTTAATTTAATTATGTCGGGGTTTAATTGGATTAAGTAACAGTAATAGTGTAATTTTTTTGATTAAATCGGTTTTACAGCAAGTTTTAGAAATTTCTAGCCCAATTCTCTCACAGCATGAATAACAAGACAAAAGTGTAATTCATTGACTGTTCACTTGTCAAGGTGAACTGAGGTGACAGAACCAAGGAGTGGGAGGTTGTTGCCCCCCCCCCCCCAGTAGTTTCACAACAATGTTAATCATTACTAAACATGCTGTTACACATTGCGATTTTGAGACGGGGGGGGGGGTCAAACTCCCCCCTGATGCACTGTGCCCTTGAAACCAGTGAACCACTTGCTTGATCTTTTCCAGGCTGAACTTGTGTCAATGAGACATGATATTACTGAAGAACATGCTGCCAGAGAAGTTTTGGAAAAAGAAGTTACAAGTTTATTAGTCCAGTTACACAGAGTTCAACTGCAGTTGCATTCTAATTCTGAGACACCTGACTCAGAAACTATTCGGGAAAAATTGGTAAGGACAAGCCAGTGTGGAAAGGTTGTATCGAGCAACCGAGATATATCGGGCATGCAATTTTGGTGCTTTCTATATATTTACTATTACATTTTGGGTTTGACTGTACATTTGACAAAAGTAACTTAAAAAAGTGAGATTGTTCAAAGATCACTAATTTATTCCTGCATTATCTTAGGCAAGTGAACTGACTAAGCACAAGAAAGATGCAATGAAAGAAGCAAGAACTGCCGCAATGCTAAAACAATACGAGAAAGAAAATATTGAATTAAGAAATCATGTATTTAGTTTGCAAGGCGAGGTATATGGCGCCAGGTTGGCTGCAAAATATCTTGACAAGGAACTGGCTGGAAGGTGTGTACTGCAAGTTTTCTTGATGCCAACCTTACAGAATCAATCAAATTTTAATTATTATTGTCGATTTCAGGTAACTTTTCAACACGCTGTTCCCAAGTTCATTGCGAACTTGCCAATTACGTTGTCAAGTTTGGAAGTTGGGTGTGAACTTCGCAACAAAGTTCGCAAGTTCATTTCAAAGTTCAAACTTTGATTGTAAACAAATGTTCATAGTTGGAGTTGAAATTACTGTATAAGGCCCTATGCACATATTACTGCAGTAAAATATTGGTCCAGTGGTCTCCCAAGACGAAAATTTTTACATTTGTTTACAATCGAAGTTCGAACTTTGAAATGAACTTGCGAACTTTGTTGCGAAGTTCCTGCCCAACTTCCGAATTTGGAAACGTAATTGGCAAGTTGACAACAAACTTGGGAATCACGCTTTGAAAAGTAATCTGAAATCGACAATAATCATACTTGATATCTCTATAAGATCTGTCTGAAATGCTCTCTCAGTATATTGATCTAAGGTAGTAATGTACCGGTACCCATTTTAGGATACAACAAATTCAACTATTGGGACGAGATTTACGTGGGGACGAACACAATACACTATGGAGCCAAATCGAGGCTGAAATCCACCTTCATCGTCATAAAACTGTTATAAGAGCATGCCGTGGCAGGAAGAATCCTTTCAAAAAGACGCCCGCCCCTCCTGTCATCTCTGAAATTGACGAAGGAGATACAGAGTTGAAGGCTCGTAGACGAAGGGGGATTGGAGATACAAGAACTATATTGATAACCAAGAATAAAAATGAAGGCCTTGGTATCTCAATTACAGTAAGTGGGGAAACATAACTAAAATTGTATGAATTGTATGAATTTAAACAGGGCTTTCCATGTCAGAAGAGTTCTACTCATTTTTTTATTAAAATCATAACTAACATAATGGTTGTATAAAACTCTGGGCAAAGACTAAAACTCTGTTAATTATTCATTCCTCTTGTGCCTCATTCTTACATTAATTTGAGGTGAATGTAAAAGGTGGAATGGCTGGGCGGAATGGGTTAGCATTAAAATAAATTTCTCAAAAACTTTGTTTTCACATGCCATTCTACATTCTGTTACATATGCCATTCCGCATGATCTTTTACATTCACCGTAGTTTACACCAAGCTAGGCATTGAACTTTATTCACTACTGTTTATTATGAAGCCCATAACTTGAACTGGGAAATGACTTGAGCAAGATTTGAACAAGCTTGCACTTAATAAAATGAATATGGACTGCTACAACACAATAGACAATTCCCATTATGGACTAATTTTAAAACTAGGCAAGGAGATGCAAATAAATCGCCACAGCTAGAAAGAGCATACTTAATTAGTAAATTTGCAAAGTTTGGTTGCGAAATGTTGTAAAATACAGAAAATATAGCCTTGCAAAGTTTGCAAATTTGTATACTTTTGTATTGCGTGCGGAAATTCCTGCCACATTTGAGCCGAAAATGGTAGCAATTTCCGCACGCAATACAAAGTATACAAAATTTACAAACTTTGCAAGGCTATATTTTCCGCATTTTACGATATTTTGCAACCAAACTTTGTAATTTTACTAATTTTAGTATCCTCTTTCTAGCTGTGGTGATTTATTTGCATCTCCTTGCCTAGTTTTAAAATTAGTCTACAATGGAATTATCTATTTCCATGAAATCAGAGAACTGAACAATCATAAACCGGATTATGATTTCTTGCAGGGTGGCAAGGAGCATGGTGTGCCAATTTTAATCTCAGAAATCCATGCTGGTCTACCAGCAGAGCGATGTCAGGGTGTCTATGTAGGCGATGCAATATTGTCATGTAACGGTATAGGTCTCCAGGAAGCTAAGCATTCTGAAGCAGTCAAAGTATTATCATCATTGCACGGTGAGATTGTCATGGAAGTTCTCTATGTGGCTCCTGATGACTCGAGTGATGAGGACGAAGCTGATTGGGAAAAGAAAGATGAGAAAAGGTTCACATATATTATATTATATACATGTACAGTACGAGTGTGTTTTGGTTCTTGAAATGCTAATGAGTGCTTGATATCATATAGATAGAGCAGATATGTAGTGTTTTGTTTGTGATGTTACTCTGAGTGTGCATCCACACCGGGCAAGCTGAAAAGTTTTGCTATTTGAAAAAGGTGTTTTGCTATTTGAAAAGGGTGTTTTGCTATTTGAAAAGGGTGTTTTGCTATTTGAAAAGGGTGTTTTGCTATTTGAAAAGGGAGTTTTGCTATTTGAAAAGGGTGTTTTACTATTTGAAAAGGGTGTTTTGCTATTTGAAAAGGGTGTTTTGCTATTTGAAAAGGGAGTTTTGCTATTTGAAAAGGGTGTTTTGCTATTTGAAACGGGAGTTTTGCTATTTGAAAAGGATGTTTTGCTATTTGAAAAGGGAGTTTTGCTATTTGAAAAGGGTGTTTTGCTATTTGAAAAGGGTGTTTTGCTATTTGAAACGGGAGTTTTGCTATTTGAAAAGGGAGTTTTGCTATTTGAAAAGGGAGTTTTGCTATTTGAAAAGGGTGTTTTGCTATTTGAAAAGGGTGTTTTGCTATTTAAAAACGGAGTTTTGCTATTTCAAACAACCGACTCCAACATTTCTTAGTGCCATCAGTGCAATCATGTTTCATGCCAAGACATCTCAGACACATGATATACCAACTAAATTACGGTATTGAATACCTTGGACTTGGAAAGGTCATGTGCTACCAGCAAAAAATAAGTACGCAGATATAGCAAGAGTTCCTCGTACCTACGTGGTACGTGGCTGAAAACAAAGAAGTACCAGACAGTAATATTGCCGTATACCTCCAGTATACGTACAGTAAGTACGCGAATTATCACACCCTGCTGAAAATTGATGAAGCAGTGAAGAATATGTTGTCAAGATCGCGTCCGCTCACTTACCGAAGGTGATATGGTTTCACATTTACTGTCATTAAGTATTTCTTGTACATTTCCTGGTATCTAAAAGAATACAAAAAGAATATAAATTCAGAATATTGCCATGCATATAAAAGCCACATCTTCGACAAATCCCGCTAAACTTGGCTAGAAAATTCCATACCCTGCTCGTAGTGAATGAAGTATTAACTGCCTTGAGGGCTTCGTCAAAATTATCTTCCTCTTCTGGGACACCGTTTTCTTGAACTAATATTCCTGCAATTTATTAGAAAATAAGTTTATAGCTGCACTACCTTGAAAAACTAACTAACTTTCTTTATAATATGCGGTTTGGTTTATGGAAAACGTATAAAAATACCTTGACGTAACATTTCTTTAAAGGAACATTTTTCCTTATAATTTTTCGGAGCTCTACCTTCATTCTGGAATATAATACAGAAGAAATTAAAAATAAACAACTATTTCAACTTTCACAATCGAAAAAAAGTTCACAAGTGAAAAGACATCTTAAGAATGACAATTCCCATTATAGACATTGAATTTTTTATCTTGGCAAAAAAAAGTATATTCCCGGAAAGAGCATACTAAAATAAGTAAAATTGCAAACTTTGGTTGCGAAATGTTGTAAAATGCGGAAAATATAGCCTTGCGAAGTTCGCAAATTTTGTACACTTTTGTATTGCGTGCGGAAATTGCTACTACATTCGGGCCGAAAATGGTTGCAATTTCCGCACGCAATACAAAAATATACAAAATTTGCGAACTTTGCAAGGCTATATTTTCCGCATTTTACAACATCTCGCAACCAAACTTTGCAATTTTACTCATTTTAGTATGTTCTTTCTCGCTGTGGTGATTTATTTGCATCTCCTTGCCTAGTTTTAAAATTAGTCTATAATGGGAATTGTCTATTATTGCAGGCTCACCGTTTTTTTCCACTTGTCAAGGCATTTCAAAAGAAGAACTACGTACGGTGTATGGGAATGATCCTTAAAATAAATCACAAATTATCATTAACATACTGGTAGAGGAAAAATGTACTAAATCAAATAATTTTACACTATCAAAGTTTCTGTGATCACAGTAGGAATTTTGCACAGGGAAATTCTAAGTTTTAAAGGATTTGTAAGTCAACTCTCATGTACAGTAGCTCTTGTTCTCGTTTGACCGGGACACGAGAGTTGAGAAAACTCACATGCAAACTCTCTCTTCTCAACTCTCATCAACTCTCATGCAACTCTTGTTCTCGTTTGACCGGGGCATGAGAGTTGAGAAAACTCTCATGCAAACTTTCTCTCTTCTCAACTCTCATCAACTCTCATGCAACTCTAATTGTTCTCGTTTGACCGGGGCATGAGAGTTGAGAAAACTCACATGCAAACTCTCGCTTCTCAACTCTCATCAACTCTTATGCAACTCTTGTTCTCGTTTGACCGGGGCATGAGAGTTGAGAAAACTCACATAAAAACTCTCGCTTCTCAACTCTCATCAACTCTCACGCAACTCTTGTTCTCGTTTGACCGGAGCATGAACTCTCGCTTCTCAACTCTCATCAACTCTCATGCAACTCTTGTTCTCGTTTGATTGGGGCACGAGAGTTGAGGAAAATCTCATGTAAACTCTCGCTTTTCAACTCTCGTCCTCACAGTCACTTGACCAAAGGCAAGGCTTTACATGGAGAAAGCATGTGATTTTTTGGTAGAGAGTGATTTCTTCCACACGTCAAAATCATTCCATCTTTTATCCCATCTTGATCGTTTCATTTAAATAGCTCCGTTTTCATTATATTACTTTATCAATTTTATATTACTTTATCAATTTTATATTACTTTACCAATTTAGACATTGAAGTTAAGTCGAGTGAATCTGAGAATGTCTGCAGTTGAGGAAATGGTTGATCAAGGCGTAGATCTTCAAACATATTATCAGGATGAGATTCTATTACTGTAAGTTGGAGAAAATTTAATATTTTAATTATAATTATTACGTAGGTAATTCATCACATTATTATTCAGCTCACTCCCCATTTGGGCTTTTCAGTGACCGATTACATCAAGTATTACGGTTATACTTATGTCGCTTACTTAGCCCAGACTATTTATCTTTATATTACTGTCTTAACTGTGTTTTTATCCTAACCCACCCTGTCAACTGTTTCCCTGTGGGAGGAAACCGGAGCACCCTGAGAAAACCCACGACTTTCGGCAGAGCGTTGACTGACTCTTTTCACATGAGTCCGTAGCGAGAATCAAACCCACAATCTCAGGGGTGATAGGCACTTGCCCTGACGACTGCTTATCATGTCGAGGTGCATTGCCATGTAAAGGGTTGTCAGGATGCATTTATTAAAATAATCCATTGAGCGGCAGTGCTCTAACCTTGACGAGTAAAATCGTCAGGCGTTAGACAGAGTAAAATAATAAAGTAGAGTGTGTCAGGGTAGTGGGGTACATTGCCACTTAAAGGGTTAAATATATAACCACAGATTAGTTTTATAACGGTGCACATGACTGCAATGTAGCCACCGAAAATATGGCTATATGCAGTGGCACATAGCTACAGGCGTGGTGTCTAGCTAGCACCCCCACAGAGAAGTCCAGCCCACCCTAAAAAAATGCACCCTGCTCCCCTCCTTGTATATGAGGCTATAGATCTCCCCTGCATAGCTAGTGAATGGGTCATCTCCTTCTGTCTCAAGAGAAAATGGACTACACCAGGAATTGTTAGATGTTCAATTCGTTGAGGAGCAGCATCAATTGTGTTTGCACAGGAATGGGGTATTCTGTAATTTATGGTAAGCTTATTCCAGCTAGTTTTTCTAGATAGTTCACCTGTATGTTCTTGGAGAGCCAGTCTCATCATGCCAATCATGCCATAAGCTGAACACACCAGTAGAGGAATGCCTGCTTCCCAAAGACAACACGAAACTTTCACACGTGTCCTAAACAACATACCCAAAATTTGTCTTGGTTACGTCCATTTTTAAATCTTTTCTCTTGCAGTTTTAATTTCATATCAAGTTTATGTTTCAAAACTTAAAAAGTTACATTACCTCTGTGACAATCCTGTTGCAATGACGACAGAAAATTCTTTGAAAAAGTCTGGATTATTTGTTGCTAGATCTGACGGATCCTTGATGCAATAAAGAAGTAGTTTCTTAATCTCACATATATTCATTTTCAAACAAAAATTTGGCCAGCACATTGTTTTTCAATTCAGTGTTTAATTTAATAGCCCATGATAAATTCCTGTATGGAGTTTATTTTATACCTTTATTTTTTACATAAATGGCAATCAAATAAAATTATTTTTCAATTTTTTTTCAAGTTTCAAAAATATCCCCATTAAGAAAAAATTCTCTTAGTGAAAAGTATTGTTGATTTAAATCAGTGACTACAACTATATAATCATTAATTAATACTATTAATGATTAATTAATATATAATTAATATAACTAATGAGTCAATTAATGTTGCAATTTTGTTGATTTGACATATTTCTTACCTCGTCAATAAAATGTCCTGAAACGTCAGGATTCAGTTCTTGTAAATGTTCAACAGCACACTGAGCTCGACTTTTTCCAATAAAGTCTTTACTTAGAAAGAAGCTGATGAATCAAATATAACAACAATTAGTAAAATTCAATACTAAGAAGAAATAAGAATGAATATTTAAGTTCTAGTCGTGATTTTTCTGCTTACTTATTGCCTATGTCTTTATCAAAAACTTTGTGTTTATCAACTACACAAAATGAACCAATTCCTGGAATATAATTAAAATGGTGTTCCATATTAGTGTTTCAAAAATTATAAAATATCTTAGGCTACAGAACAGTTGACTTACGACAAATGTAATTATGGTTACATACTGTACCGTCGCTTGCAACTATTAAAGGATGAACGGTCTCTGATAAAAACATTGCCTATTCACGTGAGAATCCTCAATGTTTGTCAAGAGCACTTGACAGGTTTTAATCTTATCAGCCAATCACGTTCAACCAGCTCAAAGCTGATTGGCTGAGCGAATTGAAACTGTCAAATGTCATCACAAACATTGAACTTTCTCAGCAAAAACATTGAACTTTGTCATGACAATAGACAATGTTTTATCTACGACTGTTCATCCTTAGTTGCAAGCGACGGTATTAACCCATTGAGCATGTCTAACATGCTCCCCTTGACAAATAAAATCGCCTGGTGTTAGAAAGGCAAGGTACGAACAGGACTTTTGAAAAAGGACCCATGTAAGACACCTGCTAAGAATTTAGATTTTGTGTACTTATTAGTATATACTCATGTATATACTATATTAAAAATTCTTAACTGGAGGAATGACTTAAGAAAGAGAAAGTATATGATAGGAATTGTAGAGCGATAGAGTAAGTAAGCCAGATCCATTTGGAAAGACAAATGAGGCAGACATATAGACATACAAACAGGCAGCTATGTCCTATGGCAATGAAAGTCGTGCACTAAGGACCATGTACAGGACAAATCTGAAGTGTAAAAGTAATTGGACTGGAGAAAGTGTCAGGATCAAGTTTGTATCACGTGGCAGAGATATCGGCCGCACAATTTTGATGCTTTCTATATGTGTACTATTACACTTTCGAAATCTCCAGTGCACAATTTCCAAACTTTCCAGTCAGGGGTTTAACTATATGGTTAAAGAAAGATGATTGGAAAGTAGACACATGGGCATGAGGTGGTTAATAGGTTAACCAGATAACGGACACTCTGGCAGACCAGATGAGTTTACTCAAAAATGGGAATCATTAGCAATTAATGGGTTAACCCACTGACATGCAAGACTCTGCCTTTGACAACAAAAATCATACAAATGACTGAGTCAAATAATAAAGCACTTGGATAGGGAGAATAGACCTTATATGCATAATGACGTCACAAGGCTTGATGCCCACGAAGAATGCTGGTCAAAGTAGTCATCGCCCGGGAAAATTAAACAATTCAAAACGGCCACTATCGAAACTTTCCCGGGCGATGACTACCAAGACCAGCATTCTTCGCAGGCATCAAGCCTTGTGACGTCATTATGCATAAGATGTATTAGAGGAGGCATGGCTGCTTAATGAGTTCTAATTCTACTATAATAAATTAACTCTTGAACATACCAGGAAGTACAAGATTTTTAAGGATTTCTGTTCCAAGAGCTGTTGCATTAATCAAGCATACTTTGGCATTTTCAAGCCTCCTCTGACCATGATCTCCCCATAGCCTGTGGAATATAATATTCTGGCGACTTTTGCAATGAATGGCAAGATTTAATACGTATTTATACAAAATGTACAATTATATAATGTCATATAAACCATATGTGATATAAGTGATTGTTGTCATTACAGCAACATCTTATGAGTTATCGTACAATGACAAACAAAATAAGCATATAGGACTATTTAGTGATTGTCAACATTTTGACACTTTCAGCTCCAACTATAAATAGTACCGCCAGTTTATCATTGACAAATCTACAAAACTCAAAATGTGAGCAACCCACCTCAACTGCCTGTCGTATTTCTTGTCTTTTTCGGTAGATCTGCTCATTTTCGCCGGTTTCTCGCAATGATTTTCCACACTTTCACCACTCTTTCTCTTCATAATTCCACCATATTTAAAAACACGAGTCTGCAATCTGCCTAGCACGTCAGCAGTCCTCCTTTACTGAGTACTTGGTGATCACTTTGTGAAATGTACTCATAATTTGCAGAAATAGCATAAAGGCCTGGAAACGAGTTAAAACCACGGCAACTTGTAATACGATTGGTCCAAAAATTGGTTGGTCTGAAAAAAATCGCTTGGTGAGCGATTTTAAAATCGTTATTGTCAAACGATAATTTTATTGGTTACGTTGTAGCGTGGACACCACCATGTTTTTGACCAATCGTCGCATGTTTACAAGTTGCCGTATCGTTATCATTGTGTAGTATGGCCTAAGACCTACACCTGTATATTGATTTACACAGAATACATTTTGGCTGTGCAAATATCGAGAAAGTGGGAATTGGTTCCACTAGTCATAGATTATTTATCATTTGAGCACACAATTTTGATGCTTTCTATATATTTACTATTAAAATTTCAAAATCTCAGGTGTGCAATTTTCAAAGTTTGTGCGGGTGAGGTTGGTCTGGAAGAGAAGAAATAAACCACTACAGTGCCTGTCAATGGTTTGTGTTTATTATGTAATGTTATGTTCAAAATGTTACATATGTTACACAAGCCCGTAGCTGGCTCTCAATTTCTGGGGGGGGGGGGCACTGCAGAAAGAATGTAACAGAGGGTTTGAGATGAGAAAAATTTTGACTGCTTTCAAAAACGGTCAGTGTACCATTTTAGGGGTCAAAAATTTTTGCGGACAGACCAAATTTTTCCGAAACCTAACAAAATTTTTCGAAAACAGCACAAAATTAACCACAAAATTTACAGAATTTGTCCCATGATTACAATTGGTTTCCAGGTCCTTTATCTCAATTTTTCATACCAAATTTCGGAGTGGGGGGGGGGGCACCCCAGTGCCCCCCCCCCCCCTCAGCTACGGGCCTGATGTTACAAAAGGAAGTCCATTTAATTTATGAATATTACCAGTACATACACATCTACACGATGTGCTTTTTTTTATGCTTAGCAAAATTACTTTGATCTGAAAAACGTTTGTTGCAGACTTGACATTCATAAGGCTTGTCTCCAGTGTGCGTCCTTTTATGTGTCTTTAAATGATCCAGCCGCGCAAATCTCTTCTTGCAAACGTCGCACTCATAAGCTCTGTCCTTCTTGTGCACCTCTATTGTATGTGTTGCTAAATTGCTGGATTGCGAAAACGTTCTTTTGCAGATGTCACATTCATAAGGTTTGTCGCCACTATGTGTCCTTTTGTGTTTAGCAAAATTACCTAAATTTGAAAATCTCTTCTCGCAGAGATCACATTCATAAGGCTTGTTTCCAGTATGTACTGTTTTATGTACCCTTAGGTTGCTCATATGAGAAAATTTCTTGTCGCAGACATCGCATTCATAAGGCTTACGGCCAGTGTGTGTTCTTCTATGTACAGCCAAAGAACCTGAATTGGAAAATTTTCTTTCGCAAAGATGACATTCATAAGGCTTGTCTCCAGTATGTAATATTTTATGTGTCCTTAAATTGCCCATTTGAGAAAATCTCTTGTTGCAAATATCACATTCATAAGGTTTCTCTCCAGTGTGCTTTCTTTGATGCAATGTCAAAGTGCTTCTGGATGGCAATATCTTGTCACAGAACTCACATTTCACAGGCATGACTTTTCTCTGACACCGTCGCCCGTGCGGCCAAACTTCGATGAAAAATGTCACCCACTTGAAGCCTTGAATCTTTGCTTTCTAAATCTTTATAAAATTTTTCTTATATCCGAGTTATTTTGGCATAAAAACGAGCTAAATAAAGTCACAGTTCAGAACACCACATGTATGAAAATATGGCGCGAAACGGCGGAAGCCAGTGCTTCCATTTTTAAAATCAAAATTTCTCATTTTTGTCATCAAAATTTCTCTAAATTCCTTAGATTGTATATGTTATTTCCTTGAAAATTCCTTGAAATTTCATGAAGCAGTTTGCAGTGATTTTGCAGCAATAAAGGATTTAATTAATTTTCAAGTCACAAAATAGCACAATTAACAAAGATATGGGCTAGCTAAAAACCACAGGCTATTATACTGTTTAAAATTAAATATTTGTTATGAATTTACAAGAGATACCTTTACATTGATATGATTAATTAACTATTCACAACGTTTGGCGCCAAAAGTTACTAAATCCCATCGCTTAAAAACTTTCGGAAATACGAGGAAAAAGTTAAAAACAGATTTTTAATTAAAGATAATTGATAATTCACTCAAAAATTTAAAAAAATGGAAACCTTCAGCACAAATGCGCTTGGGCGAACAGTTAAGTTTTTCGGAAAAAATCCTTAGATTTCCTTAGATTTTTTCTCTTCCTTAGATTTTCCTTTTCGACAGTAGAATTTCCTTAGAAAAGGAAATTTCCTTGAAAATGGAAGCACTGGCGGAAGCTCTTGAAGTCGTGCTTCCACTATGCAAAAGCAAATTCGCGTTTATTGAAGTGTGGGACAATCCCACTGAGGACAATACTAACCTGCGAACGGGCACGCTCTGGGAACGAGGCTATTAATTGGCTACGACTCGATAGAGCACATTTTCAACATATTCACCTCACTTTTTGAAGTATTAAGTTTTCTATTTAAATTCACATGTTCGATAATTCCATATCCAAACAGCTCAATTTTTGGCTTTTTTGCCCACCGAATGCAACAAAGCAAACAATTTGAAGATTCATTCATGGGGAAGGGGTGTTTCACCCCCTCTGGTGTCACCCCTGTCATATTGGCCTCAAATTTCAAAATTTTAATGGTGTTTGTACGGAAACCTTTTTTTGGATACGTCCCGGAAAATTGTTTTCCCGCTCATCAACATTTTTGCCCTGGGTCCCCGAATTTCTCTGTGCGGCCCTGTGTCTCCAGTATGTAATCTTTTATGTTTCCCTAAATTACCCATTTGAGAAAATCTCTTGTTGCAAACATCACATTCATAAGGTTTCTCTCCAGTATGTGTTCGTTTATGTTTCCTTAAATTGCTCATTTGAGAAAATCTCTTGTTGCAAACATCACATTCATAAGGCTTGTCTCCAGTGTGTGTTCTTTCATGAGTCCTTAAAATGCACATATGAAGAAATCTCTTGTTGCAAACATCACATTCATAAGGCTTGTCTCCAGTATGTGTCCTTTTATGTGTCCTTAAATAGTCCATTTGAGAAAATCTCTTGTTGCAAACATCACATTCATAAGGTTTGTCTCCAGTATGTGTTATTTTATGTGTCCTTAAACTGCCCATTTGAGAAAATCTCTTGTTGCAAACATCACATCCATAAGGTTTGTCTCCAGTATGTGTCCTTTTATGTGTCCTTAAATGGCCCATTTGAGAAAATCTCTTGTTGCAAACATCACATTCATAAGGTTTGTCTCCAGTGTGTGTTCTTTCATGCATTGCCAAAGCGCTTCTGCATGAAAATATCTTGTCACAGAACTCACATTTCACAGGCATGGCTTTTCTCTGACACCGTCGCTCGGGCGGCGAAACGTCGATGAAAAATGTCACACAATTGAACCCTTGAATCTTTGCTTTCCAAATCTTTATAATACTTTTCTTATATCCGAGTTATGTTGACATAAAAACGAACTAAATAAAGTCACAATTCAGAACTACCACATCAGTATGAAAATATGGCGCGAAACGGCGGAAGCTATCGAAGTCTTGCTTCCACTATGCAAAAGCAAATTCTCGATGATTGAAGTGTGGGACAATCCTAACCTGCGAACGGGCATGCTCTGGGACTTCGATGGAGCACATTTTTTTTTTTTTTAAATTTTATTTTCCCATGTATAAAAATCTACTTAAAATATATTACAATAATTTGAAGATGTTGGGCTAGAGACCTACTAGAAATCTTCATAGACTTTTTATTTTAGGTCTCTAGGTACTGTTCGTTTTATCACATAATCGATTATTTACAATCAATCAATACATAATATGTAAAATCAGAAAGTTTTGAAGTATATACACTATATTTACAAGAGAGAAAAAGAAGTGGGAATGTTCGTATTATATAAATTAATAGTAATGTTGTAGATGCATGTAATTTTACAATGTCAATGCTGGGCTACAATAGACTAAAGTATATGTCATTATATACATTAGAGAAGTATGTTTTATATATTGGTAATTGTGTATAGCAAAAAATGTTGTTTAATTTTCTTTTTAAAGGTGTTATAGGAGTTTATTTCATTAAGTTTTGTTTCTAACGAATTCCATACATCAACTCCTTTATTTGAGAGAGTGTGTTTTACATAATTTGTTCTTTTATAACATTTGTGAAGTTTTGATGCATTTCTTGTGTTATGTTCATGAATTTGGTTGCAGGGGCGGATCTAGGGGTAGTCAGATTAGTCACGCGACTAACGTAAAAAAAAGGCATATAAAAAAATTTGGACTAAGGTTTTTGAATTTTTTTCCCAGCGCAAACGCTTCTCTTCATTTCTGATCATGCAATCAAAACTACATCACACTCCAGCATATAAACTTCGATCAGTTTTTGCACATTGAGCCAGCGATTGATTAGTCAAACGATAAGTCAAATAAGCGGTATTGAAATGAAAATTGACTATTCTGCATTTTAGTTCATGTGATTTGATTGGTCAAATTTGCTCAGATTACACATTACAGGCATGTTGATTGGTCAGACCTATTTTGACTAACGATTGCGCAATTTTGACTATTTTGACTAATCCTGCAAATAGATAGCAGCTTCTGATTGGACAATTTGCGCAAAAGAGTTAAAGAACATCTCCTCTGATTGGCCTTCTAATCTTCAATTTGGAAGCATTGTGCACTTGGTAGCTCTGTTGCAGCTCTGTACAATTTTACAAGCGAATTATTTCGCTTAATCTTAGTATATTTGTTGAACTATTTTCGAAATAAAGATTTCGAAAGGGTTATATCGTTATTTGTTACGATAAGGGATGCTTTCTGGTGTTCTGTGGAGAATATTTCAAGCTGATAAATTCGATGGATGCAAGAAAATTGTCTTGACCGAAACTATGATGTGTTGATTTCTCGTCGTCTATATTTTCAAGAGATTAATAAGAGGTGTATGGCAATAAGGTAAAGTGGTTTGAATTTTGAACAACAAATCGTTGAATTGAACGTACGATTTGCATAATTGTGCGAGGTTATAGGTCCAAAGTTTCATATACTGCATACATATTCATTTATATGTGTATAAAATTAAAACACCTCAAGTGGCAGAAACTTGATCTCAAATATTTGATCAGATTGGATAAAAAATATTTATTGTGTACATGCTTTATAGAGTATTGATTGACTGATAATAGCTCTACAAATGTACTTTATAAAGATAATAATAATATAATCTTTGGTTATATTTTTAGATCTAATGCAACTGGCAATTGCCTGTATATAGCTCTGTTTCCTAAGCATTGACAGGTACCAATGACCTATAAATTTGACCTTGATAGTTTAAATGTTTACAGTGCAAGTGTGAAAGGTCTATACAGTAGGTCACTTTTTATACAGTATAAGCGAAGAAGCACTATGGTTGAAGACTAATTAAATTAAATGACTTGGCTTGGTCATGATGCAAATTCACCAGGATTATTATTCCTAACATACTGTAGGAAACTTTGTTAATAAATTTTCTGGACCATGCATGAGGTTAAGGTTAAATATATCGGCTTGCAAAAAGACCACTCTTGCCTCCAATAACAATAACCTCACTCTTGTACACAACACTGACATGAGAAAAAACTTCCTGGGGCATGAGAAAAAACTTCCTTCATCATCAACCAAACTTAGCCTTTCAAGATCACCACCTTAATTCCCATAATCTCCCCCCTCCCCAAACATTCGGACTTTGTAGACAAAAGCTGATGCCAAATATCGGTCTGATCTCATTGGCTTGAGACCGGTCCATTGCATCTTGAACCAGTTAAATTTTTCAACAGACCAGGGCTTGAAATAACAACTGATTACCAATCAATAATCAGCAAGAAATTGCTTATGATCAGCGGAAAAGCAGGGTTTTCAACCTGAAAAAGCAGGGAAAGTCGACTGCCGATCACCATGATCAATCACCATGATCAACCACCATGATCGGGAATTTTGGGAATGTTATTTCAGGCCCTGACAGACAAACACCATATGTGTCTATATACAGTATGTAAGCATAGTGTAAGAATAATAGAATACTGTGTTAAAAACCTTGCCAATTATTTCAGATAACTAGATAAGTAAAGTAGTAGTCATTTGTAATGAATCTTTTGTATTTGAATCTACTGTGATTAAAATATGTTTAATTAAAATGCCAGGTAAAATAAACTTGTTTTCAATAAAAGTTGGCTTCCAATGAAGCTGCAGCTTTGAGGCACCATTTAAATCACTTGTGATGTTATACATTTCCATAGTGGACAGTATATAACAAGATGATGAATTTAATTAGATTAGACATAGGTTAGTAATAGGGGGAAGGGGCTAAAGGGAAAAACTGGACAATTTCACATATTGTCACCCATTTTTAACCAAGCTCCTTTTGCTATATGGTGAAAGGTGTGAGGTGGGTTTATGGCA